TACTGAAACAATTTTTAAAAAATAATTGAAGAGTCTGTAGTGTTAATAATTATTCAACTATACCTCGTATCGATACCAACCCTCGTTCGTGATAATAGTAGCTAAAACCGTTAAGGTGACAGTCTACTGTCAGACGGCCCGTATACTTTCATGTTACCATAAGTAAGGACAATGATCAACAGCCTATAAATGCCCACTGCTGAGCAAAGCCTCTCCTCACACGGAGAAGGTTTCGAGCATTTGTCGCCACGCTTGCTCAATGTGGGTTGGTGATTTCAAACTTATAATTAAAATTATATGTCCAGGTTTCCTCACGATGTTTTTCTTCACCGTTTGTTAGTGGCGTCTTGTCTAAATGTCTTAGGAAGTTCATATAACTCGAAAAAGGTCACATTGGTTCTTGCCGTAGGTAGGTTTCGACCCCGCACCCTCATGCATGAGAAGCGGGGCGTCTTAAGCTCCGGGCCAATACGACGACCACCACAAGGACAATAATCAAAGTAATAAACCAAATAAGTATCTTTAGAATAAAAAGATAGTATTCGAAAATTGATCGACACTGCCGAAATCCTGAGAATCTTCTTCAAATTAATATCGAGGTGGAATCTTCGAGGTGCATTTAATTCTAAACATCACACTTGTCTTACGATTTTGTGCATATGTATAAGAACTTTTGTTGTGCTTAATCTCGTTCAATTAGATAAATACTCGTTGCAATTCCCACTTTGTCTTCTAACTCTCTTATTGTTTATTCTATTTGTTTCACTGCGTGAGATACATAAATAATTATTTAAAGAGTATAATAAATAAATATTTAAGTAACTAAAGTGCCCATGTTAATAAAGCTATAAATATTTGTAAAATGTTTCATGTGTTTCCTTCTAAACTTGGTACTCCGATGGCCGTACGAATTTAGTTCTATTTCAGCATTGGAAACGAATATGAATTCTAGATTAAATCAAAATAGAAAACCGAAGACCTGAGTGCTTTATTTATAAAAATAACTGTCCAATAAAATATGTATTTAAAATCTATCAAAATATTCCATTTCAAAATCTATTGTTGCACTGTGGGTCCATCTAGTATTAGGTAAATAACCAAGTAGCATTGTTACATTTTTAAAACGAAATAAAGTGTGTATTTGACAAAAGTTTGTAAACTATGGGTATCCCACCAACTCCTATGTATAATTTAAACCATGTAATAGAAGTTCTAATATTCTACTCTTACCTATTTAGAGTTACGTGTGTATTTTTTAACAAAGTTTAATATAAATTTTGACTTGTAACCTATTGTATAATTAGGTTAGATATCTGTATTCCAAAATCCAGTAATATTTTATTAATATTAGTCAACTGATTGTATTAATTAGAATAATCTGAATTACTAATAACATGCTTAATTAGCGAACTATTTAGATATGTTTAAGTACCTATACATGCACGGCCGGTATTCATAATACACTTCCAAAGTATCTACGTAGGTAGATATTTTCATAATATACAGACACAAGGAACTTTATAAATTCTAAAATAAAAGAAATGATTTGTGTGATTAAATCGTGGGTACAAAATCCGCCCAATAGTCCAATGAATTAACAAAATCTTATTTGAATCACAACGGGTACGTCTCATTGTGGCTGTGTTGGTCGTTTCCCATTTCCTCTGATAACTTCCTTGATTTAATGCAAGCGTTTGGAAAGAGGTTGATCCACTAACGTACCTACCGGAGCACAGATCAAAAGCGCAAATGAATTTTGACGTATCCACACAGGGGCATATCGGATAAGCGGTGGCGAGGTATCTAGAGGTATAGTAGGTAAGTATTTACCAGCAATAAACCCGCTTGCACGCCTCCCCCACCCCGCTCAAACACCGGTACACCCACGGACTCTCGGTCTACTCATTTCGTATGCAATTTTATTCATTATTTGTAATCTACTTCAATCGAATAGGGTCTCAGTATAAATCACTTTTAGGATTTGCTCGATAGGACGTATGTAGATTGACGCTTTTAGTGTGATATTTAAATGCGATGTGTCTTTGTGCCGGTACAGTCGCGCTAATAAAGCCTGCCTTCTACGAACTCGATATGTATGAGATGCTCCACGTCAGAAACTCATTTGACTAAAACAAATAACGTTCACTTTCTTTTTATTTTCTTATGCGCACGCCTTTTAAGATGCCGATGCGTCTTTCCATTTTATTTCAATCTGTCGTTGAGGCTATAGAGCGTTTATAGGTGTAAGTGGACGGCTCATAAAAGATCACCACACATGCCTTGGCTGAAATTAAAAGAAGCCGTCGAATGAGCTACGTCCACCGGTAACTTCAAAAATAACAAGACGAGAAAATATTTTCACAGCGTGTTTATTGCAAACGGTATCACTCGGCAGCCAACAAATAAATTGAGGAAAATTTTGTAGAGACAACATAATTGACTGACAATGTTGAATCTGTTCTATCTAGCCCATTTTATAATATTTTGACGAAATAAACGTAAACTTATTACAAATTAATGTCAAATAGCTGAGCTCTAACAACTGTATGCAAAATAAATGAAAATGTAGAGCTTTAACATGTTCTTGATTTACTGACATTGTCCCGCATTATGAATGTGTGCTGACAAACATGAGCGCAGAGATGTAAACATCAAGAAGAAGCGGTTTTGTCGTATATTGGCGTACCTACTCAGTGTAAAGACTATCACATTAGACTCTTGAAACCAAAAGTTCACAATTTAAACTGGACATTCAATGCGCCGTTGCCCGTGACTGTACTTAGCTAAATACGTTTGACGTACTCGTTATTATAAAAGTCTTAAACACCCTTAAAATATTGTTATTCTGAGACGTAACAACTCAGAGTATACGTCATATTTTAGATTAATAAGTACAAGAAAAATAACTGATATTGACCATTGATGTGGAGCAGGCCTCTAGGATGTCGCAAATAGATAAAACATGTCGAAATAATAAATCCTAGCTGAACAATTTGACATTTTTTGTTGTTTCTAAACTATTTGTCAGCATTTGTAAAAATTAACTACACAAAAAACTTTCATTAATTTTTGTATAGGTACACGTACCTATTAGAAGTAACTTTGTTAAACGAGATAGAAGGAAAATAGACGACGCAGATCTGATGTCATACTGATTAGATCCAGTTTTAATTGACGCCAAATTAAACTAGTTTGTTGTAACCGTGTACATTTTTTGTGGCAGTCCGCCTGTACGAGAGTCAGCATCAGGACGTGAGTGTGCATACAGTGTAGATGTGTAAGTACGCTGCGGTGTCAGTAAGTCGATGTAATGAGTCAAAGGATTAAGGTCATGGTTTAGTGCTGGCCGGCGGCAGCGGGTAGCATCACGGCCGGAGCGAGAGCGGAACATAGCGTGCGGCAACGGCAGCAGCGCCGCGATGAGTGACTTTGGACCGGCGTCGCGCGCCGCTCGACCCAATTGGTCGCTCGCCGGTACCCGCCCAGAGGAGGGGGCAACGCACACAATCTCACACTCACCTAAGATAATTTATTTTATGTTATACCGTTTGAATATTTTATATCTGTGTGAGTTTTTTCGGTCGGTATGCGTTCACTGTGAAATATTCGCGCGATAAGAAAGAAGAGGGGAACAGATCGATCGGGGACGTTGCGCTTTTTATTTCGATACTTGGTGTGTTATTGTCATAGTTTAATTGTAGATGGATATCTTCCATCATCGTTTTACACCGTCTTAAAGAACTGGTAATATATTATTTTTACTTAGATACTGCTAAAACTGTTTATTAACCATGAAAACAAAACTAATATGGATTAGGCTATATCATAACCACAATTTAAATTGCATTAAATATAGTTATGTATATTCTGGTTACCACTTACATTACAAAACCAACCTTTTAATGGGAATTCGTATTGAGTGAAACAAGTTTGTTTATGGGACTACACAAAATATAAGCAAGTCACGAGCAAATGTACTTAATAAGCCAGTTCTATTTGTGTTGGAGATAAAACTTCGTATAGGTTACTTGGTACGCAATACAGACATAAGTGAAACACATTCAAAAGACCGTTTAATGCTGTCACCGCTAACATGTTTCCACCGCTAAAACGACCCCCGTAATATAAGCTATCGAGTACACAACAGGCCACAACCGTCGACTTACAGACAGACTTGTATAGCTACTCGAGTACGATTCACATGGAAGGAAAATAAAAATTACAAATGTCGTGGTTACCTTTAATCAAATGCAAAGCTATCATTAAGTCGACGCTTCGGCAAACTCGCTCGTCGTGCGCATCGTCACTGTTAATTATCACAATATATATGTATAAAATAAAATAAAAGAGACCGCTTCGTACCAATACTAACATAAAAAATACGAGAAAAGAAAGAGAAGCTTTAAAAAAGAAAGGAGTGCATCTACCCCCACCTCCGGTGGCCCCCACCGCGTCGGGCCGCCCCTGTGGCGGGCGCCACCCACCGCACCGCAAAAATCGAGAGCGTCGACGGCGCGCGGGGTCAAACGGCGACGCGAGCGTGAAAAGAAGGAGCGGTGTGCGAGCATCACGCACACAGCAGCGAGTGTGCGTGTGCGCGCCGAGAGGGACGGCCGACGAAAGAGCAGGACAGCGGCGCCAATTACTATCACCTGGCGGGCAGCTACCGCATTACCCACTGCCGCCGCGCGCGCGACCACGCGCCCGCTGCACCACGCGGCTCGCTCCGCTCCTGTGACGCTCCGCTCTATCCCGACTCTACACCGCAATCGATATTCGCGGACTCGCGGCTACCCACTGTGCACCGTCGCGAGTGCATCCCGTGCTACGCTCGCTGGTTCTCGCTCGTCTCGGGGATGCACCGCAGCTACATCGGCTCGCGTCCTGAATAGTGCCAACGCGCGACAAACATGCAACTGTGAAGTGTGTGCGGACAGTGACACAGACATTAAACTAATCGTGATCGTTTACAAGTTTTCTGGCGACTTACACAGAACGAGATGACTTCCCAGTTCGCCTTCAGAGGATCTCCCCCCAATCAGGTAAATACACTTTAAATAACATTACAAAACTTTTTTGTATTTTTCAAATTAATAATAACTAAATAAATTATTGCAGAGCGATGTAAGATGATAATATGTGAATGTGCTGTACTTCTATGCCATTAACAATAGAAGTGATATGTTCATGTGGTTAAAAAAGATAGGTTTTGTTTTTTTTTTCTGATAAACTAAAATGAAAATAAATATTTTTATCGATAGTTTTTTTCTTTTTAATTTTCTTTCATTTCAAGTTATTAGTATCTCTAAAGTGCACATAGGTAAATAATAAAATAATTGTACCATCAACAACTGATGTAGTTTCAGACACCATGTAAACAAATAAATATACAAATATAGCAAAAGATAAAAATTAAAGTAACATCACAAAATATTTTCCAGCAGACATTAAATTTTATTAGAAAATGTAAATAATTAAAGATGGACAAGTTTCGATACGAGAAACAATTTTCATCGCACTACTTACTATTGATTGAACGAAGTGTCTAAAACAATCGGAAACTTAGTAATCAAGCGATTTCAAATAGAAATTAATCGATGTAATTCAGTCTGATATTTATGCACATTATAGAGCTGTAATGAAGTGCAAATTGTTTCCGAAAATATATTAATTGTAAGTAGAAACTCCTTCAAGCGTTTGATTTTCTTCCTAGTCACAATACCACGTATCGGAACAAAGTCAATAACTTTTTTAATACCGGTGGTGTATAAAGTTAACCTATCCTATTTTTGGTATTTATTATTTTCTTGTATATTTATTATTATTTATAATAATATCTTGGCAAGCACTGATAAACATATTTTGCCGACGCAATCATTCCAATCGAAAAGATACTTTTATCTCGACGTTTTTATCAATAGTGAAATGGCTTTATTTTTAAGATAACTTAAAATTAGGGGATTATTTGGTTCCCATACCTATTTTTCATTTATTATAGAGAAGTATTTTAGTCCTAAAACTCTTTCTAATTTATAAATAAGTATTTAAAAATGAAGAGTCTAAAACTCTTACACTACACAGAAGTCTGAAGAAAATCTTACACACATAAACGTATCCGTAACTTATACTACAAGCACCTTATATCTTGATCGGTACTCAATATCTAAGTAATTAAAATCTATCTAAGTACTAATTAAGTAGGTTGCAACAAACAATTGTTCGCAGACCCATCGCTTCATTTAGCTATTATAAATATATTGTACCAATATGCTAGATAAACTTTAAAAAGCACTTGCAAATACCTATAATCAGCAAGAAGATTTAATCATTGTAAAAAGAAAAATACGGGGAAAAATATAGTCGATTCGGTTACTCTTTTCTAAAAAATTTTTAGGAAACTGAAGTTTTTACACGTAAACATAGATACAAATATTATTTAGTAAATACTCATTATCAAAATTGTGTAAAAAACAAGTCTTAAAGCGAATGACAAACCTTTGACAGAAAAAGTTTAAAAGAATATTACTTTTTCCGTATGTCAATTGCGTCATAACTTCCAATACGTGCTGAATAATCAATCAATTAGTTTATCAGCCACGTTTGTCATTAAGACAATGAATGGATGCATATTAAAATCTGTACGATAAAACAATTATAACGAAGCAACCGAAAACAATAAGTTAAGGACAATTGTTATAAAATCATTCATAAACTACATATCTAGCAATAGAATAGATTACCTGTATTGCTTTTTCATAATATTCTTGAACAAATTGAATTTGTACCACACCACAGTAATACAATATTTCAGTGTGATTACACAGCAAGAAAATCTTCATCTAGAGTCTATAATAACGTTAATCAAAGTTACTTAAAACCTAGATGTCAATTCAATACAATTTTTATTAGTTGGCTCTGTGAAAAAAATCGATAAAATTTTTCAACATAAAACAAAATATCAAGTAAATAAAAGTACAAATTACATATTATATTGTATTATACTTCTATGTTTATTAACATAAGTTTACAGAAAACAAAAAAAAAATCGATTGCTAAGAAAATGTTTTTACCAGTAACTAGAAATAAGTATAATAAAAATATAGCGTGACAACTTCACACAAATGAGACGAATCAATATAAAATGTTATTTTACTTGAAATAGTAGAACCACACGTTACAATCAACTCTATCGTTTGAAGGAACACAGTCATCAATAACATTAGAAACAGCAAAACCAGTTAGAGCGAGTTTTTATGTAAATTTATGTTGTATGTGTAAAATCAGGCCTAAATGTTCTTTGTTTCGAACAATTTTAACGCTACTTTGGTACATGTCTAATGTAAATTAAAGTCTTCTTGACAATTCCATGAAAATAATTATAAAATCGGTGTATTCCAACTAGATTTTTACAAATAGGTCATTACATGACACCTATAAATACATAATCTTTAGAACATGCTACTTGTTCGTATTTAATATCACCATTACTTATACTGTACTGTCCCAATTCACTTGTTTCAATACCATCTTCTGAAGTACTTTCGTTCCCAAATCAAATAAAATCCCCATATTAAGTGAGTATATTATTTAAAAACAAAACATTATCTCTCAAGTGGTTGTGATTCATAAATCAATTATTGGATTTCCTGTCACCCTTATTTGTTATCCGATAACAGTTTATTAAATTTTGCACTCGTATTAATATCGGCCAGTTATCTAATAATACGGTTAGTTTTGCGAGCCATAATTAAAATGGTGTGAAGACTACGTACGCCAACGAATGTTAATAAAGATAATATGGAATGGTTCGGTCAGTGGCCGAGTGCGTGCCGTATGCGATCTAATTTCGCTATCTCCTTGATAAGAGGGAGCCACAGTCATTCCCTCGACAGGGAGAGGATTATCCTCATTATTTCCCAGTTTTGAAATGTAAGCTCCATCGACGACTGGACTTAGCACTCTGAGACTTTTAACACTCAATAGTCTTGCCTCGATCCTGTTGCAGTTATGGCTCTCTATTTTTTTCTTCATTTCATAATATGAGACCGTAATAAAGTCTGACTTTAAATAAGCTTAATAAGAATTCAAAGTCTTTTCTTTAATAGCAGTACGGTCCCATTGCTTTCATGGTACGTTTTTATTTAAATAGCAATTAAGTTCAAGAATGGGCTGTAAACGTTTATACTGCGTTGTAGCGTTCGCTTTAATACCTCAGACACGTTAAATCTCGGGTGGCATCATTTTACTTTCCACAAACTTAGACGGGATTGATCTCTACCAAGACTAGTATTGGCATTGATCAAATTCAGTGTCTACCAATTACTTCAAATACTGCACAAGTATTTATTAATTTTAACTAGATAGTTCAAACGTTGTGATACCTATTTTATAACGCAACAATATCGCGTCGGATTTTCCTAATTCTCATCATATATTTTATTCTTAGACAAAGACTTAAAATATTTAGAATAATCTTATCTCTTTAAGGATTGAAAATAAATTGCAAAAGGATAGGATACTTTACTTTAGTGGCTCCTTGTATAAAATTTAAGAAAAAATAAATATTGAAATCAAACAATCTTTACATTTGATAGTTAGTTTATATAAATAAACATGTAGGAAACTACGTTATACTGTAAGTTGTTAAACATTATGTAGCTCCCTCATTATCTACTTATTCTTTTGTTCTTATGTTCATTTCCATTTGATAAACAAGAGGGAACAAAAGACGACAAAGTTGTTTTTATTTAGGTCATTCGAGACTCGTCAAGCTTACGTTCCAAGTGTCGAGTTCCAGATTAATATTTTGTGAATGCGTTCGTGAAGTGGAGGCCAATTCTAAGGAGGAATACACAATTGCGCAATCGAAGTAAGTAGGAGAAATTATTGACGAAACTTTATAATAGGATTTTTCATACTAATCATAATGTTGATTATATTACAAGTGCAGAACAGTAAGAGCTGATAAAATTTTCAGATTGTATTTTAATAAGTTCTCAAGGCTGTATAAGTACTTGTGCACGGAGGTTTACTCCTTGCGGTAATTGAAGGTGGGTTCGAGAGGCGAGGCGCGGAGGCGTGAGCCAGCTCTGCTGAACTATGGGAGCCTACTTGGCTTGTGGTCACATACAGTGAACACGCGTGCACGACCTCGGGACACGTAAACCAAAGAACAAAACCAACACCATTCATTTAACTTCATAATGAGCCATGAACAATCTTCGTCATTTTTGCAGTTTGCATTCGACCGCTTACTGACCCCTTTTTGTTCAGAATCGTAATTTGACGTTTGGTACTCGTTTCGACTTTAATAATGCGTACCTAATAAAAAGCCATGATTAAGTAAATGTTCGTCTGGTGAGCTATTGTTCTTGATAATGAGCCAATGTTTAATGATATGCAAGTGTGCTTTTTACATTTGTGTAACAGGATATCGCGTCGGGCTTTTGCTAATTATGTACTTGTAGTATTGTCATTGTTTGCAATAATTTCATTCTAGACGGAAATCTATTCGTCGTTGCCTTATTCCATTAATTATAAATGCTTACTACTTATTTATTGCAGAAGTTATTTATAGGTCTGTATTTCATACAAATACATTTATTGCAATTGTATTTAATTTATTTAGCAAGTGTTTGTTAATATTTTAGTCAAAATCGAATTTATTAGGAACAATCAACACAATGTAACTTATTTGGTATACATGAATTCACGGTCTATTTACTTTTTCAATGACATGTTGAACTAAATAGCTGAATTACAAGTGGTCTACAAGTAACAAAAATAGGTGCATGTTGTTATTTCTGGAATGCCAAATAATCCTTATAAATAAAGTTTATTAATAGATAAGTACGATGTTAATAAATTGGACAACGAATTGAGTTTCGATTAAAAAAAATAAGACTAGGTAGACATACATAAGTCCTTTGATTTACTGTATTTGTATTGATGGTATTGTTATAAGTTGGTTTCGTTTTACTGTTTCCATTTATTACTATTATTTATTATATATTTATTTCATAAAAAAGTACTAGGTATAATC